GCAGGGTTTATATTTTTAAATCAGGGTCCCTGATTTCCAGCTTCAGCCGTTTCCAGCATCAGCCGCGACATTAATTTATTATTATTATTATTATTACTATTTTATTACCTTTTTTTTTTACCTTCGTTTTTAGAGAGTGAAACCCGATTTTCCCACAAACAATTGTTTATAACCAGTAATTTTGACCAATCAAAATTTAAGATCAGGTGTCAAAAAAAACAAACGTGTTTTGTTTTTTAAGTAAAAAAGTTACGCGTAAAATGAAAACCAAGAAAACTGTGTTATAATTAGGGTTTGGATTAGAACGATATAACGCTTATTAGTACAGTAGTAAAAACATCACGAGGAACGTTTTTAATTAGGCTGCAGAAGGTGGTTTCATAATTAAAATTTTTCGTTTCGATTTTTACTTAAACTTGGTCCTGAGATTCGATTGGTTAAAATTACAGGGGTGGACAATTTTTTTGTGGGACATAATTATGTTAATGCCAGCCGGGTTTTTATATTAAAAAAACCCTGGCCGGCATCAACATAATTCTGGCCCGCACTAACTCTAAAATTTTGCTGAGGGTCATTTTGACCCAGGTCAAAATAGAATTTCTCATATTATTATAGCTGCATTTAAACAAAAAACATTTCCAATTTTCTACATAAGAATCTTAAACTGTTGAACATATTATCTACTATACAAAGAAACACTTCTTTCATCACATACCTTTACTTAATAATTTAAAAAAATTATACAATCTATATATCAACATGAAACATAACTTTAATATTACAATACCTACAACAGATTCTCAAACCTTGCTACATGAGTTTCAATGCAAGAAATCTAGAAATGCACAACACTTGCACATCATGTCACGAATTGGGTCGGGCCGACGAAAAATTTTTAAAATTAAAAGCGGACCGGGCCGGCCACAATAATTGGTAATTGCAGACCTCTAGTGTAATCTGAAACAATCATTAAAAATTTCGAAAGCATTAATGTTCTTGTGCTTAAAGTTAGGATCTGCATACGCCTAAAATTACTAATACGTAAAATATAATTTCGGAGGATAATGCAATTAAAGCTGTAACTCCAAGCAGGCACGTACGTACGTATCAATATCACGCATGACATATTGATTACTCTTTAAATTCTATTTACTTTATACGGTATGTGTTATTTTTAGATACATATAGGCGTTATTTTAAAATCAGGTATGTATCTATTTTTAAAGATGCTTTATTTCTCAGCTATAAGATATAATCTAGCTCATAACTCTTATCTTTAAGAACGACGTATAAGAGTATGATCTATAACATCTTTTTGTACAAGTCATTAAGATTGAAGTCATTAGTTCATATAATAGATAGTTAAACTTATTTATTGTGGCAGCTTATGTTGAGATTCAGGGTTCCTATTTAAATCTATAATATCTATTAAAATCCACATATACTCTTATTAATAATACTAACCTTAAACCCTAACCTAACTGAAAAAAAAGGCTACAAAAAACCCAAAAAAATTTTATAATTTTCTATAATAAAATAAGTCAAATTCTCAGCATAAGCTGCCACATTTTCTATAAATTATAATTGAGTAATTAATTTATTAAAAAAATAAAAAAATAAATATCATTTCTGCAAAAGAAATGGTTTAATCTTGTTTAACCCCACTGAATAAAATAAATATGAATTATAATTTAGAATTTATAAACAATGCAACTGAATGTTTCACTATTTCCCTTTAACTTACCAAGTCACGTAAATATCGGTTTTCCTTTATCCATTTCTTTAATAAATCTAATGCATCTGATTGTTGCATATGACTGTGTTCTACGAGAATATCAGCCAAAGCATCGTTTACACCCTTTGCCATACCTTTGGCATCACTGTTATGATAATCAATTAATATTCCGAATATAAAGCAATGGCGGATACATAAATTAGGAATCTGAACTTACCCGCACACAAAAATCATAGCATCTTTTTTTGTTATTAATTCAAATAAATTTTGACTTTGAATCCTCATAAGATCTTGAACATATTTTGGTTTTCCATCTAAGCCAGCACCAGGTGCTCGACTAACAGCAATAAATAGTTCTTTTAAAACCCCTCGTTCTACAAAACCTTCTAATTCTTTACGGTACAAAAAGTCTTTTTCTTTATCCCTACATCCATAAAATAACCACATATCACCTAAATGTTTATCATTGTCTATTTTCTTTTCAGACAAAATTAGTTGTTCTCTATGTTGAAGAAAACCAATAAATGGGGCCACTCCTGTACCAGGACCGATCATTATCAAAGGTTTTGAAACATCTGATGGAACATTAAATCCCGATTGATTCGCTTTTAAAGAAATTGGAATAGTTATATTTGAATTCAAAAGTGTTCGAACATTCATTTCATTTACATAACCACACAACTTGTCCAACCATGTAGTACAAACACCACGTTTTTGTACGTTAAAAGGATCTGGTGTATAATAGTCAACAACGTTAAACGCAAAATGCAATTCATTGGGGTTCATAAGAGGGGAATTAACAATAGAATAATGACGAGGTTGATGTTGTGATAATGTATCCAAAAGGCGTTCTATTGGAGGCTTGCAAGATGAGAAAGTGACCAAAAGATCAAGAATCGTCGGCCTTTGTTCATATAAACGATTTAATTGTTGAGAACCTAAATATTGATAATTTAAATGATATTTAAATGAAATGAACAAATAATTACAAATAAATTTTTGAACAATAAATGATCAATTTGAGAATACCTTGTTTGCTACATAGAAAAAGTAGAGTTTGTTTTTCTTGATCGTTTGAAGTGTAATCAACCATCATCCTTAAAGTTTTACGTGATATAGATGTCAAATCGACACCATAGCGTAATAACTCAAAGATTGATGTTGATTTAAATCTTTTCAAATGATTAGGAAGATCAACTACACCAATAAGAAAAAAATACATAAAGATCCGTAACAATTCTGTACATAATTCCAAATATTATATATTT